CCACATTATTTTAATGGATTTCTTCGCCAGTTAATCGTCTGTCACTTCGTTTGTGGTTGGATCCTTACCGGGTTTGTGGATTGGTATGATTTTTGCTACTTTCCAGATGCTTGGAAAGTAGTGCAGTTCCAAACATCTGTTGAAGATAGCAGTTAGAAGAGACTGCACTTTCATGCTAAGTTGAATATACCGTCAAACCTGGGAGCTTCATGTTCTTGGTGCATTTCAGCGCTGAGCAAATCTGTTGTACTGTAATCATATCCGCCGGAGGCACGACACAAGGGGAGACATCTAGGTTTTGAACGCATTGCGCAACCTGATCTTCGAGCGGACTTTGGATAGTTGAGCCAAGCAAATGCGATGAAGCGACATGCTTGCCGATCGCATTTGCTTTCTCCTGTGGGGTGATTAAAAGCCGATCGTCATCATTTTCGACTTTGAGAGGTGGAACGGGTTTGGGATGATTTTTTTCAGGACCTTGGCTACCTTTCAGAATGGTCTGGAGCGGTCGTCCAGATTTTGGACAACACGCTCGAAACTTTCATTTCGGAGTGAGTCCATTCTGGAAGCAATCTGCCTGTTCAGATCGGCCATTTCACGTTTTTTGCCCAGATCTCCAGTACTCTGAAACTGGCGTCTACGAACATTTCTCAACCGAATCAGTTATTGGGTGTGGGATTCAATAGCAACAAACTTACCCCTCACAGGAACTTGTCGAACACACGCCTCGTCAGCCACGGATATGGCCTGTTGGAGTCCTTCCAACGCCCGGTCGATGTCATCTACAGTGTCGAGCAGTGGATGTTGCTGTCCATCATTCGTCCGTACTGCACCCAGTTGACATGGTGGTAGTCTTTACGTAGGCAGCTTCTAGCAGGAACCATGTTGACACCGTTGACACCGACTTCAGTCACCACCGGTTGGTGGTCGAAGCTGAGATATTTGTGCGCCTCCGGCTTGGATAGTCCAATGTTTGACAGGAAAAAGTCCAGGGTGGAGGGATTTCTCGTCGGAGAGATGAAAGTTGGTTCGTCCGGAAATTGCACAGTGTACAGTCCATGTTGTGCGTGGCGAACAATAGACATCCGTTCCGGTTCCGCTGGTAGTTCCGCCAAGCTTCATGGTGGGCGTTCAGGTCGCCCCCAACGATGAATCGGGGGCTAGTACGGGTGATGGCGGTCAGGTCCTTCTTGAATTGGATTCCTAATCCGTTGCTTGCGGTACACTGGCGTGGGCAGTAAACAGCGATGAACCGGACGTTTCCTCCAAACTAATGCCCTCGATGATAGAAGCATAGGATAACTCTAAGACTAGTAGGTCCCGAAGAAACGTGCTCAACGTTTTGGCTCAGCTCTGGTACTATCTTCGGTCCTAAGCTAATCGATTCACCCCTCGAAACATAGGAAAATCCAATAACCCCTCATTTTATCTGTCAAACTTTCATAGCGAATCAAAACAAACATTGTGTAGTACTAGAATTTTGACTACAATGGGATACGTTAATCGATTTGCTTGGGACCAATAGGCTAGTCAAGTAGTGAGCCAATTTAAAATCGTTAGTTTCGTATTGATTGTTGATAGAAGTGCGGATGTGGGGCAGAGTGCAAAACTTGATTCCCTTTCTGACGATGACCGCTACACCACCCCCCTGGAGCTGGTGCGATTAAGCCGGATAATGTTGTGGTCAGGCAACCAGAAGCTGTCACCGGACTTTAGGTGGTGTAGAGAAGTAATGACACGACATGTGGGTTTCGGTTAGAGAACCCACGTCGATGCTATGCTTGCGGAGGAAGTCGGCAAGCTCAATCTGTTTAGCTCTTACAGAGCAAGCGTTCCAGGTAGCGATGGTTAGCGGATTAGACACCATATTGGATGATGAACTTACCGAGCACTTGGATCTGTTCGGGCTTATTGCGGCACTTACGTAGAGCACCGGTCATGTTGATAAAAATCTCCATCAGTTCATCTGCTGAGAACAGCTCCGGATTATTTGTTTGAGCTATTGGTTGCCTCCAGAATCCAGGGTGGATGAAGAGCTTTGTCCAGCAGAAGATCCAGACGTTTCTTGAGGGGGCGCGGATCGCACCCTTGGATTCGCTTGTCCATGAAGAGGCGGAAAGTCCTCCAGTCCTGAAAGCCGGGGCCTTATCCTTCCTTCGTGCTGGTTGATTGTTGGTGAACGCTTGATTTCGGATGCGCTTGAAATCCTCGCGTTTAGGGCACTGCTTGTTGGATCCTTGTTGAGCACCACCACAGTTGGCGCATTTGGACGCCACAGCTTCATCCGCAGCACATTCGGAGGTGGCATGGTCTTGAGCGCAGCGTGGCTTAATGTTGCAGTTGCGGGTACCGTGTCCGAAGTTCAGACACCGCTGGCACTGAGTCACATCGCGATAGCCGCCACGGTATGGCTCCCAGCGAACGGTGATGGAATTGATGGACCGGATGGCTTTCAGTGCGTTGAGCGTTACCGTTCCCTTCTGGAAGTGTACCAGGAAAAGGCTATCCGGATACGCCTTCACATTCTCATCTCTTCTTGTCATTCGATACACGGCACTTGGGGCCAGCTTGTACCGGTCCCTGATTTCATGTTCGATAAACTTCGGGTCGAAATTTGGTAGGCCCCTGATGACGACCTTGAACGGTTTTTCACCGGGGAAGTCGTGGGTGAAGAATTCCACCTTGGAAGTCCTCAGGTGGGCGATGACCAACTTTATTTACAAGAAACTATTGCTATTTATACAAATTCTTATCCTACAATATTTTACCTAAGAATTCTCTTTTGAGCTATGTAGACAGTGAGTAGAACACATTTCTGTGTCCACGTAACGGCGACGTTCCCACTTATTTTACACAAGTTTCTGACCGAACTTGAACGTCTGTTCTCTGTGGTTACGTGGTGTTAGCATCTCCTGATTTTCTCTATAAATTTTCCACTTTCGACCAATTTGGCGCTAGTATCGATAAATTTTCTGTTGAAAATTGCCACTTGGCGCTACTAGCACTTAGTATCTTGTGTAATTTGTGCAACGCCAGCGCCATCATGTTGTCAAAGAGGGTTTTTAAGTGGGGAAGTCGCCGTTAGTGGCGCTTAAGTCGAATAGGAATCTTTACACAAGTTTTTAGAGAAATTTTGTTCGAGCCTCCATGTCTGTTCTCTGTGCTAATAATACTGTTATGGTTATTTAGCTTAACGACGTGTTTCGGGTATAATCCAAACCATTTGTGGAATTGTTCTATCATTTGGGTTATCATTCGTGTATGGTATTTTTAATAGGGCTTTTATTGTAACATCGACTCTGGAATTGCCAACACTCTGTTATTAACATTTCGTGAATTGAAGGTGGGCTCTTCTCCCCACTCATTGGGACATCCCCTCGTATGATGGCTTGTTCTGTATAGGATTAGAACATTTTTATCGTTGGAAGGAGATTCTTCTTGCTCCCGTGGATCACGCGTAAGTGTCTCTACTTAAGGGTCCACCCTCCCTTTTTTGGCCCTTTATATCGAGCTTCATACAATGGTAAATTGAATACAACCAGCCCAGGTATCGTACTTGATCAAGTCATACGAGGTGGACAGTCCACTGTCTAATGGCTGTGCCCTGCAACAATGAGTGGTATCCTTTACATACGCACATACTTGATCACCCAATGCTTTCATGCTTAAGCCTTGGATTTTTTTTTCGCTTAAGACGCAATGCGGTCCACTCCAATGATATCGATAACCGGACCGATCCACCTAACCGGATGATGCCAGTACAGTTTGAATGCATATCACCCTGAAGGCCCCACACCACAAAATGAGGTTCGCTTCGCTAATTTGGATGTCATCAGAATTACAGCAGTGCTATGCGCATCTTTCAGTGGAATAATTGTAATTCATTTATTACGTGTACAAATACCAATCATTGTATGTATAGCTAAATAAGGAATACGGAAAGAGGGAAAGTTTAACTGAGAGAGTTTGAAACATAAAACAAATTACTAGATATGCATTTGCTACTTTTCTGCTTGGTTGATACCTACTTTGTTCTTCCACCAGTCGATAGCTATAGCTCATTGTGTAATTACGTGTGTTCGTCGCGTGCTGTACTCTACTTGTGTGTTTAAACTATTTATTCGGAAATTAACGATCAATGCGCAGACGAAACAAAACAAACAGGAAAAGTAAAATTTCTAATAATAGTCATTTCGATTAATGTAATCAATAGCGCAAGTACCTAATACATGGTTGTAAGCATAGAAATGAATGTAGAAGTGTAGGTAGTTTAGCTTTGTTAAAATGATTCGATTTAATCCATAAAGGAGACCACATAAGTGAGTGCCATTAGTTTTTGTATCGCGGATATTTTGCAGAGGATGAATAAAGTGCACAAGGGGAATTGGAATAATTGTTCGTCAATCTCAAACCATTCATCTTCTTCTGCTTGGAAAAATTGTACACTACCCTGGGACAGAAATCGTGCTCACTCCGTCGCCTTCGCTGCTGTCAGTCCTATCCGAATTACCTGTACATTTAATTTACTAAATACTAGTGAGAAGACGACACACTTTTTGTTGCTGGAATAAATTTTACAGGAAACAGAACAGATCGTAGTTCAGTAAGTTATTCGTACAAGTAAACATTTTAATCGATTTTCCCATAATAAATATACCAGAGTTTAAAATAAATCAAAACTGTTTGCATTTTTCCTCTAAAAGCGACTTGGTTTCGCATCTCCATTTGTCGGGAATCTGTGTTTGGTTTATGAGAAAATGAAGATTTTTCCGAGTCCGCCCTAGCAAACATTGTCCACATCTTGCTCCGTTGAAATTGCGTACGTTGCTTTCTTTGTATGTTTCAATAGCGGTGTGTGCACCCTTGAGATTTTTGTTAAATTTTACCTTACTTTGTATGTTTTTCTCTCTCTCTCTCGCTTTCGTTCTCTTTTTCGCACGCTCACTCGAACATTAATCATCAACATCATCATCACCATCATTGTGTCGCGTTCATCCCTGTTTTTGTAATCACTCACACACCCCTGTATATGACCTCCTTAAGCCTCTTTATGCTTCTCATAGAACTCATCCAGGAACTTTTTGTACTCGACCTGGTTGGGCCACATCTGGGAGGCTTGCGAATTCAGCGGGCTATCGTTGTTGGGCTCTCCGAGCAACGACTGGATCGACAGCAGAATCGTCCGCACGTCGTACAGCGCCGACCATTTGTCCTTCAGGATGTCCAAGCAGATGGACCCGCTGAGGTCCACATTCGGGTGGAAGCAAGGCGTGAGAAATTTCACATTAGGAGCCGAGTACGGGTACGAATTTGGGAACTCAAGCAGCAGCTTGTACTTCTGGCCCTTGTACACGGTGTCCTCCGGACCGCAGATGGTACCGATCCATTTGAAGAAGTTCTCACCCTCAGGGAAGGCCGAGATGGACTTTTCCGATGACATCATCAGTGCCATCAGCTCTTTTTGCAGCCTGAAAAAAAAAAGAATGAATTGGGAATTTTTTCGTTGAATAATAATAGTAAATAAATTAATAATTAGGGTTCGTAAACATATCCAATAATTATACCCTGTGCATTGGCATGACCTTGAGGATTGCTTAACTGCAACCAGGTCCCAGGACTTGTATGTATCTTTACATTTTGAAAATGCACACTAAGTAGTGATGCCAATTGTGATGTAGCGGATCAAAATTTTACTGGAATTTAACTAATAGTCAAAATTAAATAATTGTCTTGTTTAGAATTATGATTTTAACTATGAATTGTTTTTCTAAGTAAATGAATCTAATGTACGCAAAAATTAAAAAAAAAGATATATTTATTTCGTTCAAATCTTTTGGAATGCGACATCACACAGGTACTACTTTTGAATTTAGCTTGATCGAGTGGCGATTTTCTTTTCTGTTTTCTTTAGATCAAGACGATGAAGTTTTGAAGAAGATAACGATATTACCTATCTGCACTCTGGATCAACCTGCACTTGTGCTTGTAATCTAACATTAAACGTGTTTCAATTTCTTTGACTTTGACCTATATTTATTATATATTAGTTCGACCCAAGTGACACCTTCAAGTGACTAAAGTGCTTCACTTTGAAGATAGTTTCCTAGCTGATTTTTAAATTATATAGGGTATATGCTCCAACTATGCTCACACGCTTCCACTATGTCTCACCACAAAAAATACGTATGGGTATGTCACAATAGAAGCACGCCACAGTGGAAATCCCGAGCCATAGTTCAAAGACTTATCCCAAATCAAAATGAAGCACATATAAGATTAGTTGCAATACCATGTACAAAAATGGTGTTTAACATTGTTCCCTGAGTAATACCTCAATGAAACCAACAACGAAAGCTTGTCACGCAATTAAAAAAAGTACTGTTGGGCACTTTTTGAAATATTTCAATAGTATAATTCCCTTGCAAACTCAAATAAATCTATCTGCGTAAAAATAAATAAAATAAGAGTGATTTGCGGCAAAACCCGCCAGTATCGCACCCAACGTCAGTGCCTATACGTAAGCGTACTACAATGCGGCTTTCAAATAAAGGAGTAACAAGTGTGATACTATCACTGCTGGACTAGATCTTTGGTTTTCTCATGTAGTGGTTCATCAGAGAGGGGAAGCTTAGTAATCCTCATTGCCTGCCCATGGCGCCATTTTATCATAGAGGTAACTCTAAGACTAGTAGGTTCCGAAGAAACGAGCTCTACTTTTTGGCTCAGCTCTGGTACTATCTTCGGTCCCAAGCTAATCGATTCACCCCTCGAAACCTGGGTACTGCGGACTCACTTAATGTGCTTGTCACTTGGGCGCCAGTCAGAACTGTCAAACGGGAGCCAAACATTCAGAAGCAACAAACTCAGTTACTGTTCTTACCTCTCGTCAAGCATTGCAATCTCATAAAAATGATTCATACTTATTCATAACACATTCTTAATTGTAAGCTCAAAGACAAAAACCAACAGGCTCAATGATGAAAGTATAAAAACCAGTTTTTATGACTCAGCTGAGTTTTCAATTGCAGTAAAACATACTTTGGCGAAACATGTATGTAAACAAACTTTGATAGAGTCATGGGGGCTCAAGCACTCCTGGCTCAGAGCTTTTGGCGGGAATCAACTGAGAAAGAACAAAACAATTTTAAACTTGAACAAATTTTCAAGCAGTTTTCCATTGGTTTGCAAAATGAAATCGATTTACTCCGCAGTACTCAGCTCGAAACATAGGAAATTCCACTAACCCCTCATTTTATTTTCATAACGAATCAAAACAAACATTGTGTGATAGAATGTTGACTAGAATGGGGTAAGTTAATCGATTTGCTTGGGACCAATAGGCTAGTCAAGTAGTGAGCCAATTTCAAATCAATAGTTTCGTATTGATTGTTGATTCTATCGCGGCATGAACCACCAACGCCGACCATAAACCTACCGTCTTCAACACTCCACTATATGTGCAAAAACTAGCCAAGGTGAGAGCCCTCCTTTTTATCATATTCTGGACACACAAAATATTTTCTAAGCCTTGCCCCTAACAAGATTTCCCGCCATTTTTTTATGATTGCGGCGGGGCAGAAAGTATTTTTATTGCAGACGTTATATTTTGCAGTGTCAGGTACTTTATGTTGTAGTTTTTAACTAGCAATAATCGCACCTCGGTTGTACCTCATTGGTTACGATATCGCCACTGCGCAAAGATAACTTTATGTTGTAGTCTGTGAGAGGGACATCACAATTGACAAATCCAAGATTCAATCGGCCACCGTGGCGCTGCAATCGTAGCGGTGATAAGTCCGAAATAATGTGTCAAACTGAATACATTTTTGAAATTTCAACCAAAAAACTATTATTTTGTATTTATTCTAGCGAGTTTCTGTGGGAGTCAAAACATAATCCGAGCAAAAAAGTAGTACTCGTAATAATGGTATATAATTCTGAACAAGCCGCCCTGGAAAAAAAAAACAAAGTTGCAAATACCGAAGAAAGAAATACGGATCGGAACAATCGGCACAGACCTACGCGACGAAATAAGGACTACGATTGGAAACTCGGAACATGGAACTGCAAATCGCTCGGCTTCCCGGGTTGCGATAGGTTAATCTATGACGAACTTCAACCACGCAACTTCGAAGTCGTAGCACTGCAGGAACTTTGCTGGACGGGACAAAAGGTATGGAAAAGCGGACATCGAGCAGCTACTTTCTACCAGAGCTGTGGCACCACCAACGAGCTGGGAACCGGCTTTGTAGTGCTGGGTAAGATGCGCCAACGCGTGATTGGTTGGCAGCCGATCAACGCGAGGATGTGCAAGTTGAGGATTAAGGGCCGTTTCTTCAACTACAGCATCATCAACGTGCACTGCCCACACGAAGGGAGACCCGACGACGAGAAAGAAGCGTTCTATGCGCAGCTGGAGCAGGTGTACGACGGCTGTTCGCAACGGGACGTCAAAATCGTCATCGGCGACATGAACGCTCAGGTAGGACGGGAGGCAATGTATAGACCGGCAATCGGGCCAAACAGCCTGCATGCCGTATCGAACGACAACGGCCAACGATGCGTGAACTTTGCAGCCTCCCGGGGTATGGTAGTTCGAAGTACCTTTTTCCCCCGCAAGGATATCCACAAAGCCACCTGGAGATCACCTGACCAACACACAGAAAACCAAATCGATCACGTTCTAATCGACGGGAAATTCTTCTCCGACATTATCAACGTCCGCACGTACCGCAGTGCGAACATAGATTCGGACCACTACCTAGTTGCAGTATGCATGCGCTCAAAACTCTCGACGATGCATAACACCCGTCGAAGTCAAACGCCGCGACCCAACATTGAGCAACTACCGGACACCGCAGCAGCTGGAAGTTGCACTACCCACGGAAGAGCAGCTTGGCGCAGCTTCTCTTGAAGATGGCTGGAGGGACATCCGTTCAGCCATAGGTAGTACTGCTGTAGCGGCACTAGGTACTGCAATCCCGGACCGAAGAAATGACTGGTTTGACGGCGAATGCAAACTGTTAGTAGAGGAGAAGAATGCAGCACGGGCGAGAATGCTGCAACACCGCACGAGATTGAATGTGGAGCGATACAGACATGCGCGGAACAGACAAAACTCGGTTTTCCGAAGGAAGAAGCGTCAGCAGGAAGATCAAGATCGCGAGGCGATGGAAAATCTGTACCGCGTAAACGACACACGGAAGTTCTACGAGAAGCTAAATAGTTCGCGCAAAGGCTACGTGCCGCAAGCCGATATGTGCAAGGACTTGGACGGTAACCTTCTCACGAACGAGTGTGAGGTGATTGAGAGGTGGAAGCAGTACTATGACGAGCACCTCAACGGTGAAGCAGCAGAAAACGAAGGTGGCACGGCAACAGACCTTGGAGCACGCGCAGAAGACGACAGGCTACCGGCCCCTGATCTTCAAGAAGTTGAGGAGGAGATCGGTCGGCTGAAGAACAACAAAGCAACTGGTGTAGATCAACTACCAAGTGAGCTGTTGAAATACGGTGGTGAAGCACTGGCTAGAGCGCTGCACTGGGTAATTGCCAAGATTTGGGAGGAGGAGATATTACCGGAGGAGTGGATGGAAGGTGTCGTATGCCCAATCTACAAAAAGGGCGACAAGTTGGATTGCTGCAACTACCGCGCGATCACACTGCTGAGCGCCGCCTACAAGGTACTCTCCCAAATTCTATGCCGCCGTCTGTCACCATATGCAAGAGAGTTCGTGGGGCAATACCAGGCGGGATTCATGGGTGCCCGCGCTACCACGGACCAAATTTTCGCGATTCGGCAGGTTCTGCAGAAATGCCGCGAATACAACGTGCCCACACATCATTTGTTCATCGATTTCAAATCCGCATACAACACAATCGATCGAGATCAGCTATGGCAGATTATGCACGAGTACGGATTTCCGGATAAACTGACGCGATTGGTCAAGGCGACGATGGATCGAGTGACGTGCGTTGTTCGAGTATCGGGGACACTCTCGAGTCCCTTTGAATCTCGAAGGGGGTTACGGCAGGGTGATGGACTTTCGTGTCTGCTGTTCAACATCGCGTTAGAAGGTGTGATCAGAAGAGCTGGGATAGACACGAGTGGCACGATATTCAGGAAGTCCATCCAGCTCCTTGGTTTCGCCGATGACATTGACATTATGGCACGGAACTTTGAGATGATGGCGGAAACGTACATCAGACTGAAGGCTGAAGCTAGACGGATTGGACTTGCCATCAACGCATCAAAGACAAAATATATGAAAGGAAGAGGTTCTAGGGAAGACAATGTTAGCCTCCCACCCCGAGTTCAGATTGACGGTGACGAAATCGAGGTGGTCGATGAGTTCGTGTATTTGGGCTCACTGGTGACCGCCGAAAATGATACCAGCAGAGAAATTCAAAGACGCATTATGGCAGGGAATCGTGCCTACTTTGGACTCCGGAGGACGCTCCGGTCGAATAAAATTCGCCGCCGCACGAAGTTGACTGTCTACAAGACGCTGATTAGACCGGTGGTCCTTTACGGCCACGAGACCTGGACTATGCTCGTGGCGGACCAACGCGCCCTTGGTGTTTTCGAACGGAAGGTGTTGCGTACCATCTACGGTGGAGTGCAGATGGATGACGGAACGTGGAGGAGGCGAATGAACCACGAATTGCACCAGCTGCTGGGAGAACTATCCATCGTCCACATTGCAAAAATTGGGCGACTACGGTGGGCTGGGCACGTCGTAAGAATGCCGCACGACGACCCAGTGAAAATGGTTCTAGAAAGCGACCCAACAGGAACAAGAAGAAGAGGCGCGCAGCGGGCAAGGTGGATCGACCAAGTAGAAGGTGACCTGCGGACCCTTCGCAGACTACGAGGCTGGCGAACTGTGGCCATGGATCGAGTAGAGTGGAGACGACTTCTTCGGACAGCAGAGGACAACAAGGCCTTAGCCTGATTGGTAAGGTAAGTGTTTGTTTCGAAAATATCTTCCAAATAAACAAACATCATCCAGATCACCCGATTCGTCCACCGACTAAATCTATTGCCACTTAAAAATTAATTTCAGTCGGTGTATTAATCAGCAGATTAAATCGTTTTTCGTCTGGTGCTACACCGAGCAATCGGCCTATTTAATAGTTTTTCGTCGATGGATTTAGTCGGCCAACTTTGTCTGCTGTTTAATCGGCAGATGATTTCAAACCTTAACATGTTTTCAGTGATTCATAAGTCTTGAAGTAGCTTTTTATTTAAGAACAACCCGGAAAAAAATAACCATACAATTACCATAAAATAAAATACAGTTCTATTGTCAACAACCTATCTTATTTTACGTATATTGTACAATAAATTTTAACATATTGTTATTACAATAGATGTAAAATACGTCCCATATTGTAAGGATTTTCTACAATAGAACAACATTACAATTTTCGGTAAATGGCTCAAGTTTGTTCGGAAAAAAGTGATTTTTCGAATGGTTAAGATACATAACAACCCCCTTGTTCTATTGTAGATTTCCCCATTTAGCATAGATTCTATTGTGGAAATTATAAATTCTATGGTTATTTTATTGTTGTAGACAGTACGATTTATTGTGAATACAATAAATTCTATTGTATGGTTACAATACATTTCATTGTACCTCTAAGGTACTTTTTTTTACGGGAATGCATTACAAAATAGTTTTATGCATTTTGTACAAGATTCATCCATGCTGACAACAAATTTTCATGAAATTACATTGAAATTAAATAATTTGGCAAACAATCAATGAAATTTTCAAGGGCTGTCACAGACTTATCACCGTCGGTTAGTGCTTATTCCTGCCACCAGGCGCACAGGAGTTTAAGTTGGATTTCTCAATAAGAGTGTCTTCAAAATGCATGGTATGTTGAGAGATCGAGCTGGCTGGTGAGAGCGAATTTTCTCTCTCAAGTTTGAATTTTTGGCTCTCTGGGGACTGGTAGTAAAGCGGATAAAACTGTATGGGGAAAAATAACTTCTATTTAATTGTAGCTTCTTTAACAATAATTTTCAGGAAATAAGTGAATAACAAAGTCCATTAATGATTTCTTTAGACTGTCGTTAATTTTTGGAACTGAATATACATCGAAAGCGAATTATTTCCACTTCTTTCAATTTCTATATGGAGATTTTTATTATGTACTTCCTACCAGCAGACAAGCAGCATCTCTGTGGAGAATGTCCTGACGATACATTGAATTCGATAGATAGGGGAGAACGGTACATAACGCACCCCCGGGGTATGACGCACTTTTTCATTTTATTTTGAGATTTTCTTGGAATTCTCAATCCAATTCTTGGATTTGTCATGCGGGATTTTGATTTCAGATGCTATGCTAGAAGTGCTGCTTGATAAGACAACAAAAAAGTTACGTAAAAGCCATGAAAAACACAAATGAAAGTCAGCTGGTGCGTTCTTCCCAGGGGGTGCGTTGTATACCATTCTCCCCTATCACACTGACAGATAATCGTTTGCTCCGCTTGAGTTTTCCAAGCCGGATCTCACGAACACTACACTAATAATATAATTTTACACACACTAGCGTATACGGTAAGAATCAAACATCCATTATGAGTAAAAGTTCACCAATTGTCAATAAAAGTGGCACTACTAATTAATGAGTAATTTATTATTTCCATTAAGTAATAACTGTTAGCAGCAACTCATTGTTGTTAAACAAATTTACTTATTAATGAGTAAAGCCACTTTTATTAAAAAAAAAGGGGTTAACTTTTACTTATAAAAGGGTATTTGATTCTTATCGTGCAAACGTTCGTTTTGTTGTTTATATTTCCTTTAGAATGACAGTTCTTACAGCAAACAAACAAAAATTCACAGCTAACAAAAAAATGTAATATCACTAAAGTGTCAAGCGCAATTACAGCGGAAAAGCCCGATCTAAGTAAGCCTACTTGTCGGATTGAAAACTAGTTAGAACCAAATCGACTTCAGTTAGACATCTTGATGCCATTTGTGACAACTCTCAAACTTTCAGTTGCAAGTCATCCTATCCTTATGTTGTTGTTCTCTGTGCCCAGTATGTTTTACAGCCAATTTTCAAAGAAGTATCATACTACTTTATTTGGAGGACAGTCAGGGGCTGTTAATGAACTACGTAGACAGTTTTTTTTTTTAGATTCTTGACCCTCCCCTGCGTAGACAATTATTGTCCATAAAAAAAATAATTTGTAGGAGTCGTGGATTAGTGCCCCCTAAGCTGTCTACGTAGTTTATGAACAGCCCCTCATATGGATGCTCATCAGTTGGTGACAAATTCAACCATATCTAGATAGAGCTGGAACTAGGGCGTAACAGCTTTTGTAAACAATCCCCCTTATTCTGCGAGTCACGTGTCTCTCTCTCACCGGTGAGGTGACAATTGTCACCTCGTGTGAGGTGACAATTGTCACCTCGTGTGAGGTGACTCTCCATGCAAATCAAATGGAGAGTCACCTCACACGAGGTGACTATTGTCACCTCACCGGTGAGAGAGAGTCACGTAACTCGCAGAATAAGGGGGAATGACTTCTATCGACGATTTTTTCTAGAATTATTGAATTATTCAAGACACGCCCACGCAGACCAATATAACCATCGGATAGGGAAAGTCTTACCCTACCTGATGATGATGTTGGTTTTCGTGAGCGAGCCTTGAATGTCTAGAAATCATCTAGAGAAGTCATTGTTTACAAAAGCTGTTTGGCCCTAATTCCAGCTCTATCTAGATATGAGGAAATCATCCGAAATTCGACACGGTAACCGCAAAATACCCAATAATGGCTACAAAGTAAGCATTTTCGACGGAAACTGTGACTACCATTTAATGGGTAAAATTTTACCCATTTATGAGTAATTACAACTACAAAAACAAGTAGTAAGCATTCAGTTTTGAATAACAAATACTCATAAATGGAATATTTTTACTCATTTAATGGGTAGCCCCAGTCTCCTTCGAAAATGCTTACTTTGTAGTCATTATTGGGTATTTTGCGGTTACCATGGACAGAATATTGTTAAAGGGCTCGAGCAATACAATAATCAGTCGAAATATTGCGGATGTTTTCGTTCAGTGTATACCAGAAGCTTGAGTTTGATTAAAAATTAAAAACTGGCAACACTACCCTTAGGCATTCTTCTCGTTTCTCCATCATCGCTCGCGACTTGTAAACGATTGAAGAAGTAAAAATAATGACGTTCCGATCCAGAATTAACTAATTAGAGAATATAGCGGACACGCCATAGAAGAGACACTCACCTTTTACTAACAGCATGATTGTTATTATTTATCAGGGTTTCGTCACTTTGCTTCGATGGATTCGACGAAGCAGCTCGTTCCGGATTGATGTTCTGCGCCATGTTGTTGTGCCGTTAGCAACAAAATTATTTTCGAAACAAAAATCTCCTTACGATTGTCCTTCCGTCAGCGGATTTCTAATCATAAAATTCAACGCCTTCTTTTCACTCGTCACCGTTTATTTTTTCCCGTTTCGCACTGCGAGGCGCTGAAACGATGATGGCTTCCTTCTTCGTCTGTTTCTCTTTCACTGAAGCGCAGCAGATGATGGTGGCTAGCCTCTTTCCAAGCGACGACGATGAAACCACTGCAAGTTTTCTAGAATTTCCGGATGTGGAGACTTTTTCCTATTCTTCTACGTCTGCTGTCGGCTGCAGAAATCTTCACTTGAAACTTTGCACAACACTTGCACCCGATTGGGAAACAGTTTCCTGAAGAATTTTTCAAAAGCCAATTTCGGCAGCAGCCAGCTTGTGATGATGATGATGGATCTTTTTCCTCAACTCTGCTGCTTGTGTAAAGTTCGTTTGCTTTTGCGGACTCCCCTGACATTCGACGTCGTTATAATTCGATTCGATTGAAACACCACACTGATGGAAGAGAGCAGAGAGAGTGGGCTTCGTTTTCTCTCTCACGCACTGGAAAGTGAGCCAAAATCGTTAACTCTACCAGAGCGTTGTCAATTTTGAGCCCTTTAGAAGTGTTCGGAAAACGGACTTCATCAACATTTCAAAAGGGCGAAATTGCTTTTGTAAACAATGGCTTAAGTAATCGATTTCTCGCGAATATAAGCTCATATGTGCAAAGTACCCTAATAAAAATTGTATGGTTAATTTGCTTAACGACGTGTTCTGGGTATCATCCAAACCATTTGTGGAATAGTTCAATGGTTTGGGTTATCGTTCGTTTATGGTTATTTTTTATTAGGGTAACGACACCACCAGGTAGAGGAATGTTTCCTCTACAATCTGATATTGTTAATTTGCAATAGTGGGCTTTAATTTGTGAGAAACCAGCGGTTGAAGTCATTCTATACTAAAACAGTTTCACCCTAATGAAATGTTGGCACTGATATAAGGTTTTGCACCGTCTGGGCAGAGAATGAAAACCGAAAACTGTTGAAGATCTTGTTACCTACGGCAGCGCTCCTTGCCTCGTACCTTGCAGTCGAGAGTACGCTTTTGTACCATAGAGTTAACTGAGACCAGAAGGTCCCGAAGAAACGTGCTCAACTTTTTGGCTCAGCTCTGGTACTCTCTGCGGTGCCAAGCTAATCGATGCATGTTACCGCGAGGCAATTAATTTAAAACCAAAACCATAAGATACCCACATAGTTGCATCTCGTTTGCATAGCCCTAGCTGACGTTGATACCAAGGCCAAGAATATGAAATGAAAAGTAGGGCAAAAGGAGCGAGAGCTCGTTTTACATAATCTAACTGCAGTATTTACTTAGGAACGTTTCTGCGTTCAAGTAGAATAAACACGCCCACGCATGGCATGCTTGCGCATCTAGGTTACGTTTAGCTTTCCCTCTCTGTTTATCCTTAACGAAGGATATAATTATAATGTTTAAACGTTACAAATGTCTCATTCTTATTTGTAGAGCCATATCAGATCTGAGTTACAAAAATAAATAAACTTACAAGATATCTGAGAAATCCCAGATCTGAGAGGGCATAGTATATAAGGTCTAAACAACACAAATTTACCCTTTCAAGGGCGATCGGAATCCTAGCTTATTAGAATAGGCAAATTAGGTTAAAGTTCGGTATTGAAAGGGATATGTTAAACCCTGGACAAATCATGTAAAAGTTTTACATAATTATAAGTTGCTAATGCAACACGTAGCCGTAAGATCACTTTGTACAATTTTGTTGAATAAAATTAAGTTTCGTAGGTTACTCCAGATTCTTCTCTTTTTTGAATCCGAAAGAACTTTCGGCCTAGAAGTGAAAACTTCTCTCCTTAACCGGAGAAAAAAGTAGCTCCTAGAAGAACTCTTGACTTGGAAGTGAAAACTTCTCTCCTTAACCGGAGAAAAAAGTAGCTCCTAGAATCGAGAAACAGTGTCTGACCTAGTAAGCGAAAGACTCTCCCTAACCGGAGAAGAAAGTAGCTTTTGGCGGCGACAATGCACCTCTCGAAACATAGGAAAATCCAAGAACCCCTCATTTTATCAGTCAAACTTTCATAGCGAATCAAAACAAACATAGTGTAGTACTAGCATTTCGACTGGAATGGGGACGCTTATTATGAATATAGCGACTATAGTTTCCACCAGTTGGCAGTGCCACAAACGAAGTGACATACGGAGTGGCTCGAAAGCTTTGGTGACGAACCTGTTATTGCATTTTTCCAGTGTACCACATGGTAACACCATAGAGGTAACTCTAAAGGCCAGCGCACAATAGATTCGTTTTCAGGTTTTTTGACAGTTAGCCCATGCATTATCTGTCAAAAAACCCGAAAACGTATGCATTGTGCGCCGGCCTTAAGACTATCCCGAAGAAACGTGCTCAACTTTTTGGCTCAGCTCTGGTACTATCTTCGGTTCCAAGCTAATCGATTCACCCCTCGAAACCTAGGAAAATCCACTAACTTACTTAAGTGTCCTGAGCGCCATCCCTGGCGCAAAGGGCCAACGTGAAAGATCTCCATCCTGGGCGATTGTTTGCTTTCGCCTTGACCTGGGCCCAGGTCAAATTCCGGTCGACTTGCTTAATCTCCTTGTTTAGGCTTCGCCGCCATGAGCCCCTGGGTCTGCCTCTGCTGCGATGTCCGGCTGGATTCCAATCCAGCGCTTGTTTGCAGATTTCATTTCCGCTCTTCCGTAGAGTGTGGCCAACCCACCTCCACTTACGTTCCCGAATTTCTGTCGATATCGGCTTCTGGTGACACCGTCGATGGAGCTCGGCATTCGAAATCCAGTTGTGAGGCCACCAAGCACGAATTATATACCGCAGGCATCGGTTGATGAACACCTGCAGCTTCTGTGTGATCTCCGCTGATACGCACCATGTTTCGCTAGCGTACAGCAGTACAGATTTCACGTTAGAGTTGAAAATTCGGATCTTCGTGCGGAGACTAATCTAATTTGACTTCCAGATGTTTCGTAAACTCGCAAAAGCAGCCCTTGCCTTCTTGATCCGTGCACCTATGTCACTCTTGGTTCCGCCGTCCGACGCTATCTGGCTGCCAAGATATTGGAAACTTTCAACCTTCTCCACTTCCTGACCAGCTACCGTAAAATTGGATGGATTTCCCGTGTTGATATCCAACGATTTAGTCTTGCTGACGTTGATGTTGAGACCTGCCGCTGAGGAGCGTTCGGCGAGATCGTCGAGCTTACTCTGCATGTCAGAACGCCGTTGTGATACTAAAGCAACGTCATCCGCCAAATCTAGGTCGTTTAGATGCTCCATTGTAATAGGCTGCCAGAGCAACCCACGGTTCGGCACACGGTCGATCGCACCAACCATTATCTCGTCGATTACGATGAGGAACAGTAGCGGTGATAGAATACATCCTTGCCTCACTCCAGCGACTACCCGAATAGGGTCAGATAGGGCTCCGTTGTGCAGCACCCTGCACGTGAAAGCCTCATACTGAGCTTCGATGAGGTTGACGATTTTATCCGGAACTCCCTTGCGCCTTAGGGCGCCCCACAGGTTTTCGTGGTTGAGTCGGTCGAAAGCTTTTTCGTAGTCAATGAAAACCAAGTAAAGGGACTCTTGGAATTCGTTGACCTGCTCCAAGATTATGCGGAGCGAGACAATATGGTCCACACAGGATCTTCCAGCACGGAATCCCGCCTGCTGCCGTCGGAGAGTCGCGTCGATCTTCTCCTGTATCCGGTTGAGGATAACTTTGCATAGAACTTTGAGAACACAACACAGTAACATAATGCCACGCCAGTTATCGCATACAGTTGGGTCCCCCTTCTTTGGGACCTTCACTAAGACGCCCTGCATCCAGTCAGCCGGAAAAGTCGCGGTGTCCCAGATATTGCAGAATAGTTGATGCAACATTTGTGCAGATAGCATGGGGTCAGCTTTGAGCATCTCTGCTGATATGCGATCGACCCCGGGAGCCTTGTTGGATTTCATGGTTCGGATAGCAGCTTCGATCTCCGGTAGGGATGGCGCCTCAGAATTGACGCGAGTGATGCGTCGCACTCTTGGCGGTTCATGCCGAGATGTTGATGGCTGGTTGACCGACGAAACTTGTAGAAGCTGTTCGAAGTGTTCAAACCAGCGTTTCAGCTGATCAGTGGGGTCGGTGAGCAACTGACCAGTCGCGTCCTTCACTGGCATCCTAGGATTCATCCTTGCTCCACTCAGGCGTCGTGAGATATCGTAGAGGAGACGGATATCGCCTGTTGCTGCGGATTTCTCACCTTCATCGGCTAGGGAGTCCACCCACGCTCGCTTATCCCGCCTACACGAGCGCTTCACTTCCTTCTCGAGAGCCGAATACAGTTGGCGGGCCTGGTTCTTCGCTCCTCTGGTTCTCGCCCGCTCTATCGCGGCTTTTGCATTTCTCCGCTCCTCTATCTTCCTCCAGGTGTCATCCGTGATCCACTCCTTTCTCTGAGCGCGCAGCTCGCCCAGGTTGTTTTCACTCGTTTCAGTAAAGGCATCCTTGATCGCCGTCCATTGCTCTTCTACGCTGCCACCATCAGGAATATCCGCAGCTCTGGTCTCCAGTTCCTCGACGAATGACCTTTTTACTGCTGGATCTTCCAATCGGCGTGTGTTGAATCGCCGTCCGAGCCGCTCCTCCCGCCGCTGGACCCGCGCGATACGAAGGCGGATCTCTCCAACGAGGAGATGGTGGTCAGACGCGATGTCGGCACTGCGTTTGTTCCGAACGTCAAGAAGGCTCCTTCTCCATTTTCGGCTGATGCAGATGTGGTCGATTTGATTTTCGGTATGTCCATCACGGGAAACCCACGTGACTTTGTGCACTGGTCGATGGGGGAAGAGCGAACCCCCGATCACCATGTCGTTATTGCCACAAAACTCTGCCAACAGCTCACCGTTTTCGCTCATTTCGCCAAGACCATGGCGCCCCATGACACGCTCATAATCCGTGTTGTCGGAGCCGATCTTCGCATTGAAGTCGCCGATGTAGATCTTGATGTCACCTCTCGGAATTTTATCCACGACTGCATTCAGTTGACTGTAAAAGTTCTCTTTGTCCTGTAACTCGGCAGCATCGGTTGGCGCATAACATTGGATTATGGTTAGGTTACGAACCCGCGTTCTGAATCTGGCAACGATTATCCTCTCATTGATAGGTTCCCACTTGATGAGCGCCGCATTTGCTTGGGCGCTAAGCAGGAAACCAACTCCACGGTGGCGGGGAGCGTTTTCACCTCGAATACCAGAATAGAGTAGTACCTGTCCCGACGGCAGCTTGTGTTCTCCAAAGTTTGGCCAACGGACTTCGCTTAGTCCCAGGATTTCGAGCTTCATGCGTCGAGCCTCGCTGGCGAGTTGTGCCAGCTTCCCCTGTTGGGCTAGCGTTAGTACATTCCATGTTCCAATTCTTGTCCGTTGTTTTGCGCTAAAAGTCGTTGCCGTAATATCAGTCCGTGATCTTTCTATATTGGTTTCTGTAACAGTTGTAAAGTTTCGGGGACAGTAGGTAGTTAGCCTAAGGTCTCCTATCCGCCGTGATGGGGCTGCCATCTTGGGTATAGCTTTCGGGGATAAGCATTTCTTGTTTCAGCCGCTGGATGCCAGGCAGACGCTGTTTGAGCCGCACCTCCATGGTGGACAGACGCTCAGTTATTGTGTAGATGGGGCTGCCATCTTAGATTTAGCTGACACAATACAGCATTTCTTATTCAGCCGCTGGATGCCAGTCAGACGCTGTTTGAGCCGCACCTCCATGGTGAACAGACGCTCAGGCCGTGTAGGCCGAATCCACTAACCCCTCATTTTATCTGTCAAACTTTCATAGCGAATCAAAACAAACATAGTGTAGTACTGGAATTTATACTAGAATGGGGACGTTAATCGATTTGCTTGGGAAAAATATGCTAGTCAAGTAGTGAGCCAATTTAAAATCGGGACCTTCTGGTCTTAGAGTTACCTCTATGGTACTATTATTTTCACCAAATGTACTAGAATGTTTTGGTTCTATCTTTTTCACTCTACTCAAAACTAAAATGCATAAAAAAAAAACAAAATGATACACTCCTTGCACACTGCCAAAGATCTAATTCTATTGTTATTCTCGTTGTATCTCCACGGCCAATTAAAGACACTCCCAGGTTTTTGACGTAGGACTACGTCTTTAATTTCTATACTGAGGGTTATATTAAACAAATCAAAATTCAGACATGTAACGAAAAATCCCAAACACGGACGCAACGATAGAGCGCAAATCGAACACACGACACATTGCGCATGCTCACATAAGCGAGCTCAATGCTCGGTTGACCGCTCATCATCACCGCAGTGATAGTAAAAACGCTTGCCATATCGGTTTCTTCGTCATTTGCTTTCGAGCAACGGACGGATAAGCGTCGGACACGACTTATGAGTGGAGCAGCACGCATCGCACCAATACAAAGACGACGACGACGACGAAAAACACCCACATCGACCGGAGGAAAGGCTTCCCGCAATAGGCAGCATGACTAGGCCGCCGTCATCCGGTCGGCATCGACTTGCACCATTTGAAGAACAACCGGCCCTTTTCAGGGCCACCAATTCATAAACGGAAAGAGTTACGAACTAAATGATCAACATATTTGTTCCGTCCACTAGCGGTCCTACGTCAAGCTTTCGTTCGTGCCCCTAGGCACAGACCCTTATACTTTTTTCTCCACACATATCGATAAAAGAAGTTTTTATCTAGCATCTTATTCGATAAATTCAGGCGTAACATTTGATAAAGGCACAAAAGCATTTTTAAACAAACTTTCTAAGGCCCTTTACACGCGAACCAAAGTACGCCTACGCAAACCAATACCACTATTTAATACAACAAGAAACAGTTATGTGCTCATGTTTTTAACGAAAGAGAAAGTCGACGAAGAGAATCGATCAATGTTACTTAATGCAATGTTCAGCTTGAATTTTATTATGGTAGAGGGCACCCTAATAAAAAAATACCATAAACGAACGATACCCCAAATGATTGAACTATTCCACAAATGGTTTGGATGATACCCAGAACACGTCGTTAAGCAAATTAACCATAACATTTTTATTAGGGCAATCTTGACGCGAACCACGCGAACTGATTATTTTTGGAACGTAATCTATGTGCGACAATTAACGGAAAAATCCGAATGTGCCCTTTTCCAAAAGAAGAAAAGTGGCTCAAATCCTTCAACTGACAGCTGCTTTGTTTTCGATTTGATTGTTTATTCGGATGGATTGGATTTTGTAAATTATTTTGCATTGGTGTCTCGTTAATTTTTGTAACTCCGCAAAACTGGATTTGAATTGAATTGGGATCATGAATTCGGAAATGAGCAGTAGCATGCACTCCGGTAGACCCGAAAGTGAGTTCAGTATTGAATGTTTTCAAAACTACACAGCACCGGAAGTTTTCGTTCAAGGATTGGCTGGTCTAGTGAATCAAACCGACGTGGAAGTGATGATCCGTGCTCAAAAGCAAATGTACGTAAGGTTATCGATTTTTCGTTTTGGATCACAAAGATGAATCCTTACCTAATATGTTATGTTTCAATGAAGGTTGCAACGATTCGAGAAGACCAACGAAATGCTCTTGAATTGTAATGCCCTGAGTCAGAGCCGATTGAAGATTGCTAGCGAAGATTTCAAGAAGCACACCAAACTGCTTCATGATATGAAGAAAGATTTGGATTACATTTTCAAGAAAATACGAAACATCAAATCAAAACTCAGCACTCAATATCCTCTGCCGTTTGCCGAAGCGGAGGCCAAAAACAAACAGGCCTGTTTCGACGAGGAAGAGGAAATCGATACGGCCAGTCGAGCGGAAACCCTGGACGAGAGTCACAGTGGAAATCCATCGAGAACTGCCACACCGGTGAAGCAGGCTTCAGTCGAAAGTGTGAAGACGCTGCAGAAACAGGCCTCCCAGAAGGAGAAAAAGAAACAAAGCACCGTGCAAGTGGGGCAGGAAACCACTACCGTAAGTTATATGAAGATGGAACAAAGTCCGGAGAACAGAAAGTCAGCTAAGACGAGTCCCAATGACCCAAAACGGAGGTCACTATTATCAACACACAGTAGCTCTACGGATAATTCGAACGATTCGTCCGAGTGTACGTCGGACACCGGTTAGTAATATGTAGTATCGATGTATCGGCTATATAATAGGCGTCAATTTAGAATTAAATTTATGTTTATGAAATACTATCTATTGAGCGTTCAGTACAATAATTGATAATAGTTGTATTAAAATATATAATTTGAGAATTTTTGAAGCTTAACCTGTGTATGTAAGATGGGTGGCAGGGTGGGTATGCTTCAAGGAAGGTTACATTTTGTTACCCAAAAACTCGGGTGAAATCGGCATAGGACTGATTTAGTAAGTAGTCCAATTTCAGTCAAATATTTGTCCGATCTTCTATAAAGCGCTGGTAGTAGAGTTAAATCATCCTTGAAGTATTCCGCTATAAAAAGATTGTTGAGCCTATCTATATGCTTTCCATCCCTAATTTCTACTCCGCTCAAGATTTTCATACAAAAAAAAATATTTGGGAAATCCGGTTTGAACGGAATACACAATAGGGGTGCTTGTCTCAGCTTCAAATAGAATAATAAACGTTAATTTAAATGACAAATTCAATTTACTTTTTATTACCTGTATCTTTCATCCGAAATCCTTTTGATATCGATCACATCATTCGAGCAGTTAAAAATGACGTTTATTACCACTCGACTTTAACACTTTCCTTCCCATATGATTCAGAGCACAGGTAATCCACAACTTTTTGTTCCGTTAATCTATCATTAAATAGTTAGTACTTATTTAAGCTTCTCCGTCGGCCCATTATTCTCGTTGAAAGGCACAATGAGTGGGTGGGACAGATGTGACATGTCCTACGCACAAAAATACCTGGATGGGACAGTCAAAGCTTTGTCCCATAGTCAAAAACTGAATTGACCACTTAGTCAAGCAGTTTTGGCGTGACTTTCTACTAGCGGTTTCATAAAACTGGACCAACTAATTTTTTTATGAAACGCACAAATGATGGCTACTTTTCTCGGGGTTCTAGAATAAAAAATCTAAAAATAAAGTTTTATTTCAAAGTTCGAGTGGTAGTAGACGTCATTTTAACTGCTCTAATGAAGTGGTTAATTAATTCTCCAATGCTCAAATCTTACCCTTCTTACTAATAGAAATTCTGACTAAAGTGCTCCTACGATGAATTCTCATGTGCTTTAAGCTAACAAAAGCTGAGACCGGGGCTCCCTCAATATGGCCGGATGTGACCAGTATACTGCCGTTATACGCATAAGAGTCCCACGGTGCATAAGAATTCCATAGAAATTGGGACAGTTATGCGTATAATGGCAGTATAGTCCTGTGCTCTAATTATTACTACCATTGAACTTATTTTTAAATTCTCATGTCATTTGACGAGTCACATGATGGGTTTTATTCATTTCAGGCCGCATTTAGTTTCATGATATTGCCATCTCCGGATCCATTTTACGATTCCAAAAATATTCTAAAAGTTCTATGAGACCATAGCATCTTGTCCCACCCACATCTTTGAAGGTGGACGCGCCTCTGTTCTCGTTCAATGTGTTCTTGAAAAAGCATCTATTTAGGCCTATTCTGCGCGGTGTGTGAGTTGATGTATCAGTGAAGTGACAATGGTCACTATTCCACAAATGGTTTGGATGACACCTCGAACAAGTCGTTAGGCAAAGTAACCATACACATTTTATTAGGGGCACATCACCCGAGGTGACAATTGACAAGAAACAGCGTGTCATCTCACCTCACACGCCGCTAAGAATAGTATTAGCACAAACGAAGTGACAGACGACTAACTGGCGAAGAAATCCATTTAAATAATGTGGTTCACAAATGTACATTCTAGTACATTTGGTGAAAATGCTAGTTCAATCTAGTAGTAGCAACAGTAGTAGCAACAATCAATACGAAACTAACGATTTTAAATTGGCTCACCACTTTAGTAGCCTATTGGTCCCAAGCAAACGATTAACGTACCCTATTCTAGTTGAAATTCTATTACTACACTATGTTTGTTTTGATTCGCTATGAAAGTTTGACAGATAACATCAGGGGTGTGTGGATTCATGCAGAACATGCGGGGGTGAGTGAAATAGCTTGGGACTGCTTGGGACCGTTGTTCTGGTACTGAGTGAGCCAAAAATAATAATGATTTTCTTCGGGACCTACTAGTCTTAGAGTTACCTCTATGGTAGTAGCATAGAGGTAACTCTAAGACCACTGGGTCTCGAAGAAAATCATTATTATTTTTGGCTCACTCAGTACCAGAACAACGGTCCCAAGCAGTCCCAAGCTATTTCACTCACCCCTGCATGTTCTGCATGAATCCACACACCCCTGATGTTATCTGTCAAACTTTCATAGCGAATCAAAACAAACATAGTGTAGTAATAGAATTTCAACTAGAATAGGGTACGTTAATCGTTTGCTTGGGACCAATAGGCTACTAAAGTGGTGAGCCAATTTAAAATCGTTAGTTTCGTATTGATTGTTGGTAGTAGTGTTGCCATGTGGTACAATCATAGAGGTAACTCTAAGACCACTGGATCCCGAAGAAGGCGTGCGTCCGACGAGTTCCTGTGAGGGGTAAGTTTATTGCCATTGATTCCCACACCCAATTACTGATTCGCTTGAGAAATGTGCGTAGACGCCAGTTCCAGAGAACCGGAGATCTAGCGAGGAGACGTGAAATGGCCGATCTGAACAAGGAGATTGCTTCCAGAATGGTCTCACTCCAGAACGAAAGTTTCGGGCGGCTTGTCCAGAATCTGGACGACCGCTCCAGACCATTCTGGAAGGTAGCTAAGGTCCTAAAGACGCACCCCAAACCCATTCCTCCACTCAAAGATGAAAATGATGACGATCGGCTCATAATCACCCCTCAGGAGAAAGCAAATGCGATTGGTGAGCATATTGCCAAATCGCACATGCTTGGCTTCGACATCCAAAGTCCGCTCGAAGTTCAGGTTGAGCAATGCGTACTCAACCTTGATTCCTCCCCTTGTGCCATCCCCCCGGAGGATAGAATCACAGTGGAACAGATTTGCTCAACGCTGAAATGCACCAAAAACATGAAGGCCCCCGGGTTTGACGGAATATTCAACCTAGTATTGAAAAATCTCAGCATGAAGGTTCACTCTCTGCTGGCTGTTGTCTTCAACAGATGCTTGGAACTGCACTACTTTCCAAGTATCTGGAAGACAGCGAAAATCATACCTATCCGCAAACCCGGGAAGGACCCAACGCTAGCTTCAAGCTACAGACCAATCAGCCTCCTTTCAGCGCTGAGCAAATTGTTCGAGAAACTCATTCTCAATCGTTTGCTCAAGTTTGTCGAGGAACACAACATTCTCCTACCGGAACAGTTCGGGTTCAGGAAGGGGCACTCCACAAATCATCAGCTAGTACGGGTGATGAATAACATCCGAAGTAACAAGGCTGTATCCAAGTCTACAGCCATGGCATTGTTAGACGTTGAGAAAGCGTTTGATAATGTCTGGCACAATGGGCTTGTATACAAGCTTTGTAACTTCAACTTTCCTTTGCATCTTGTTAAAATCACCCGTAACTACCTTCAGCAAAGGTCGTTCAGGGTATCGTTGAATGGTTGCAATTCAAGCACATTTTCCATCCCAGCAGGTGTTCCGCAAGGAAGTCTGTTGGGCCCTTTGCTATACAGCATCTACACTTCCGACATTCCTCCCTTGGGTAACTGTTCGCAGATGATACTGCTATAACCGTCAAGGGAAGGATGCCTCGTGAAATAACAAACAAGCTTCAACGATGCCTTGACGCCTTTGCTGATTATGCCACCACGTGGAAAATCAAAATCAATGCTTCCAAAACCCAAACAATAATGTTCCTCCATCGGCAATCTCCCAAACTAAAACCAGCTCCCTCTTGTACTGTAATCATGGATGGCACAAGGGTTGAGTGGTCCGCCGAAGTAACCTATCTCGGGATGTTGTTTGACGAAAACCTCCTATTCCGCTCGCATGTGGAGAAAACCGTAGTCAAGTGTTCCGCCTTGGTTAGGAGTCTGTATCCGCTGATTTGCCGCAGATCCCGCCTCTCAAGGGTGAACAAACTGGCCGTCTACAAACAAATCATAGCACCTGCGATCCTCTACGCAGCTCCGGTGTGGGAATCATGTGCACAGACTCACAGGAACAAAATTCAGGTAGCTCAGAATAGAGTGCTGAGGATGGTTCTTGATCGTCCTTTCGACACTAGAATAACAAATTTACATGAAGAGGCAGGCATTGCCAAAATAGATTCCAAAATTATCGAAATTAAAACTAAATTTGCACAAAAATGTAATTTATCAGAACATGCTTTGATAAGCAATTTGTATATAGTAGGTTAGGTGTACATAGTAGTTGTAGGTTAGTTGTAGTTGTAAATAGTAGTTATAAGTAGTCTCCTTTTTCCAATTAATCATGTTTTGTTGTTTTTCACATCATCCACATCCAGAGGGCCAGTCACTTTCGAATGTATGGGAATGGTAGGAAACCATTCGGAAATGCATGGAAATTTTCAGTTTTTATTCATTATCGTCTTTATGGGCAGTTTTAGATGCACAAAAATTGCACGAGTACATTACTATCATAGAGGTAACTCTAAGACCACTGGGTCCCGAAGAAAATCATTATAATTTTTGGCTCACTCAGTACCAGAACAACGGTCCCAAGCAGTCCCAAGCTATTTCACTCACCCCTGCATGTTCTGCATGAATCCACACACCCCTGATGTTATCTGTCAAACTTTGATAGCGAATCAAAACAAACATAGTGTAGTAATAGAATTTCAACTAGAATAGGGTACGTTAATCGTTTGCTTGGGACCAATAGGCTACTAAAGTGGTGAGCCAATTTAAAATCGTTAGTTTCGTATTGATTGTTGTTACTATGGTGATAAGGTAAACACTCGTTTATTTGTTTCCTTCTGTGAAAGCATGTTTAGTCACAAATCGTGGATTTTCTGATATTCTCCATACTGCAAAAATGATTTTCCTACCACTGAAGGGGCGACATCTCTCGGATCTTCAGTATAGCTACTACTCAAATCATATAATTAATTCAAATCAAACCAATCCCACCAAGGTGGTCATACTTTAAAATAGACCTGATAGGACTAGGAACTGTAAATAATAATTAAAATCTGAAATGTACTAAAGTTGAAAAGACGCATCTGTGTCACTTAAAAAAATTCATACATGTAAACCACACAATCACAAGAAATAAAGATCATTTAAATGGCTGCCCCCCAGTCATTCTTGGCACGGACCGCAAGCAGTAAACATCTCCTAGCAGCAGCACTCACCCGAAGAGAAAATCGGCAGCACTCGAAGATGGATGGCTTGAATCGTTCGGTTAGCGGCGCCGGCCTTACCCGAAGAGAAGACCAACAGCAGCACCAACCGGCAAGAAAAACAGCAGGCAAGACGTCCGATTACGACACTAAAGTGGTGAGCCAATTTAAAATCGTTAGTTTCGTATTGATTGTTGGTACAACGGTACTGCTTTGTATGTCTGTCAATGGTATAAAGGGCCTTTGAAAATTTGTTTACAACTGCTTTTGTGCCGTTATCAAATGTTATGCCTGATATTTTCGGTTGACATCGCTTTGGCAGACGTCCAAACTTTTACTAAAGGGCTTTAGTGAAGGTGGCACTCACCGAAAACGCTATAGATCAGTGCACGGTCCCTAACCTCACTTTTTGCTCCCTATCATTTTGCTTCTGAGTAAAAGAGATAGCAACGAATGGGAGCCAAAACAAACCACCCAAAACTGTCAAAACTTACGGGTGAGAGAAGAGTGCGGCAAATTTTCGTGATCTGATCAATTCTCGTTGTTTTTGTTTACGCCTGCCGCGAACGCTACTTACCTCCAATGATGGTGAGGTGAGGTGAGGAAATGATCGTAAAATGGTATTCGTGTAGTGCAAAATATGTTAATAGTGTTTTGAAGTATACCTTCCGTGACGTCAAACTCCACTTTTTTCATGCCAATTTCAGTGCTAACATTTGAAAACGGCACAAAAGCCATTTGTAAACAAATGGTTTGTGGGCCCTTTACTCACTACTTCAGTGCTAACATTTGAAAACGGCGCAAAAGCCATTTGTAAACAAATGGTTTGTGGGCCCTTTACTCGCTACCCGAAGAACGCCCACGCAAACCAACAGCATCGTCAGGAAGGGGAAAATTTCCCCTACCCGATGTTGCTGTTGTGTCGCGTGGGTGTACTTCAAGTAGTGAGTAAAGGGCCCACAAACCATTTGTTTACAAATGGCTTTTGTGCCGTTTTCAAATGTTAGCACTGACTTGAAGTACACCCACGCGACACAACAGCAACATCGGGTAGGGGAAATTTTCCCCTTCCTGACGATGCTGTTGGTTTGCGTGGGCGTTCTTCGGGTAGCGAGTAAAGGGCCCACAAACCATTTGTTTACAAATGGCTTTTGCGCCGTTTTCAAATGTTAGCACTGAATTTTTTAGGAGTTTTTATTCGCATCACCGATTGTTTACCTCTTTTTTGCTACTAATACCAACAAATACCCTCTTGTGGCACACCTCATTGACTTACGTCTGCTGTGTCTCCGAAGCATCTGAAACTTTTTACGGTCCTTGGTGCATAAATTGCGGATCTCTAGCACCGGAAATTTGCTAAAATCCGCGGTCAAGCTATGACTAGTGCCGGTGGCGCTCCGTTTGACGACGATGAAGACGATTGGTTCAGCAAGGATATCGACGACTTTGTGGTCGATGTGAAAAAGGATCCCTCGGCTGATCAACATCAGCAGGATGTTGATGCGACCGCAAGCAAGCTACTGGAATCGCTTAGGACCAATCCGAAACAGTTTTTCGATGGTAAGTCGGATCCGTTGTTTTGTTTTTCTTTTTTTAAACAATGCATTTCAGACGCCAGCGGAAATTACTTCGATCCGTTTGTCGCTGCCACTGCAGGTGTATCACAAGCGAAGTTCCACCTGCCGGAAGAGAAGAACGGTTACGTACAGAAGATTCCGTTCTCGAAACTGCTGAATTTGTCGGAGAATGACAATCGGGAGCTCCTATTGGATATCTACAGCCAGAAAGAACAGTTTATCAAGACGATAACCCAAGAGAACTGCGGCGACGAGCTGATGTTGGTGTCGATGAAGATCTTGAACAAGATAGCCGCTTTACCGTTGTTCGAGATTAATGAGGAACTGTTTTTGGTGCTGGCCAAGGATAGGAATTTCTGGAACAATTTGATCAAGTTTTTCAAAAGAAGCACCAATCAAATGGAAGCAAGGAAGAAGAAAAGTAAGGGCAAGGTACAGGGTGTAAACGTAGTGGATATGCTTGGCGCGGTCGGGAAAGTTATTGGGAACGTAAGGAAGATTCTCGGCGAGCGAAAGCGGGTCAATAGCTTCTTGGAGGAGCTTACCGTGGTGTTGACGAAAGCTAGCGTAAAATTGGATGCACTTGGACTGGGAGCATCCGTTTCGGGTAATAGTGTGAAGAACTTGAGTGTAAGCAGTTCTATCTTTATTTTTTATTATTTTCATAATAATTGTTTGTTTTAGATTTACCCAACTCTGGAGGAACTGCAAGGATCGGCAAGCAATCTCAAGCCAAACATTGTGAGTGGGAAATTTCCCTCCGTGGACCACTATCTGGAGGTACATCTGAGTCTTCTAAAGGAAGACTTTATGACTCCACTTCGGGATGGCATTCAAGGGTTAATAGCGCACAGCAAGAGTTCGACACCGGATAAGCCCTATTGCGGTGATAATATCCGGGTCCATCAGTGTGTCAAGTTGCTGCTTCCGGGAAGTGTGAACCGCCGTTCAGCCAAGGAGGAACTCGTGATCGTCGATTTGGATCCAGAAGGACGTGTCACCGGAGGCAAGTCGATGCGATTTAGTAAGTGGGGTCAGCAAAATTCCAAGCGATTGATGCACGGTTCGATGGTTTGCTTCACATCCGGTACGCAGTTTGACGATCTGATTGTGGCCATCATCAGTCATCGCGATAGTGATCAGCTCTCCAATGGTTACATCTGCGTGGAAATCATCAAGGTGGAAAATATGAAAGACATTTTCAACCGGGAATTGTTGATGATTGAAAGTGAGATATTTTTCGAGCCGTACCATCACGTGTATAACGTGATGAGGAACCTGAAGACAGACACGTTCCCTATGAAGTCGTACATTGTCGATACACAATCACAGCACCAGTACCCGGATTATATCTCACGGGACCGCAAAGCCTTGTTTAGTCACAAGGGGCAGCTGTACAATATCAAAGTTCCAAGCGACTGGCCGGAGAGTGGAAGTCCGATTGGGTTGGATCCTTCACAGTACAAAGCGTTCAAGCTAGCATTGACGCACAAGTTTGCTCTGATTCAGGGCCCGGCAGGAACGGGCAAAACCTTTATTGGACATGAGATTGTTCAAGCGCTGTTGGCCAACACGGAACACCAGATCCTGTTGATTTGTCTGACTAACCATGCCTTGGACCAGTTTCTCAGTGGAGTGCTGAGGTTCAGCACCAGTATAGTCCGTATGGGAAGCCAGTCTAAACATGCCCTGCTGGATAGTTATAACGTGAAGCAGCTGAACGAGGATGTACTGATCGACAAGCGACTGAGAACGTGCTACTACAACACCAAGCAGGAGTATCTTAAACAGATGGAGGAGTTCGAAAAGCTGCAGAAGGAAGGCAGCAGTGAGGAGATTGTAAAGTGTTTGGTAAGCTTATTCCTTTCGATTCGTAATCTTGGTATTATTGATTGTAATTCTCGTTCTAGAATCAACTCCAGCAATCGTCGCGCCGAATTCACGAGCTGAACCAGCTCTCCAACTATGAATTCGTCAAGAATATCCGCGTAGTCGGTATGACAACGACTTTCGCTGCTCGTAATCACACCCTTCTGCAGCTCCTTAAATCTCCAATCGTTCTGATCGAAGAGGCAGCCGAAGTCCTGGAATCGCACATCGTTGCCTCGCTTACTCCGTGGACGGAGCACTGCATCCTGATCGGTGATCACTTCCAACTTCGACCGACTACCAGCGTGTATGCCCTATCCAAGCAGTACAAGATGGACATCTCGCTGTTTGAACGAATGATCAACAATCAGGTTAATTCGGTGTGTCTCGACGTACAGCACCGGATGCGCCCGGAATTTGCCGATTTGATTCGACCGGTCATCTACCGGGAGCTGACGGATAGCGATTCGGTCCGAGGTCGCCCGAAAGTGAAAGGGATGAGGCAGAATATGTTCTTCTTCACGCACACCGTTCCGGAGGATGGCGCGCGGGGTGATGAAAAGTCCAAGAAGAACAGCTTCGAATGCAAGTTTCTGCTGGGGTTGTGTGAATATCTCGTCGCACAGGGATATCGACCAGAGGAGATCGTCATACTGACGGCGTATAGCGGTCAGATGCTCCACTTGGTTCAGGTAGGTGGCGTTGGGTTATCGGCATTGTCGCAAAACGATATATCCTGTTACCTTGCAGGTTAAAGCCTGGTTGTCCTTTGTTGTGCATAGAAGTTGTCGCTGCTCGCTTCTTCGTCTAGCTCCAGTCGGTTCGTTTTCAACCATCATTTTAATTTCTTTTCCATTTTGTTTTTTTTTTTAGCAGAAATGTGCATTTTCAGAGCACTTATAACTTTGTAGAACATTGAAAAAAATTGGAAAATTCAATGAAAAAAGTTATGATGAAAAAACATTTTTTAATGGGGTATGTTTGTACGCAAATTTTCACCCTATAATTTCGTCCATTTGAGAGATAGAAAATTGTCGTCGACTAAGGTTTCTAAAATGACTTTATCTACAATGTTTCAATAGCTGTCCATCGATTTTAACGAGACATAAAAAAGTTATTTTTTTTTAACTGAGTGTTCACTAAGTACTCAACAATTTAAGAAACATTCGAGAAGACATCAAAATGCTACACTCAATAGTTTCGTCGCAAATGACCATGTCCCCCTTTTTTCTCTTTATTTAGGAGATTTTCAGCCGCGGCTGGTTCATCTCCGGGAGCCCCAGAGGGGGGCTTCCCTAATTACATAGTTGAGAGTTTGGAGAACCCAGAAGGGGTTCTCCTAGAGGTTGGTGGGGCTCCAGAAGAGAGTCCCCCTTTTTTTTTCATTTCGTTTATTTGGCAGGCTCAAATGTTATAAAAATAACTTAGCGGAGCCGAGTAACATAGAATACCAATTATGGTACTCAAAATACAAAAAAAAATATATACAAATATATTTTATCATATGATTTTTCTGGGTGGCGATCGAAGCGGCGACAAAGCGATCTTCTCCCGTGCACGCAACTTCTTTCTTTCCCGAATTTGTTCCTCATTTTCATTGAACCCAAATCGTGATCGCTGCTGCTGTTTCTGAACATCGTTTCCCGTTGCATGCTCTCCGCTACTCTCGTCGGTCGTCGGGGTAGTCACGTCCATTTCGTTATCTTCATTCAACATCTCCAACCCCGTGTCCGTTTCCTGATCGCTAATGACAAACGACGCACCTTCCATCACTACACCAGCATACGCACTGCTGCTGTTTTGTTTTCTTTCACTTTGCTTTCCTTTTTTCCTTCAGTTGCTTCTCCGGTTCCTTCCGAGCCTTCCGCTTGGGACAGGAAAGCTTCCGTCCGCCTTGCACAGAAAACATTTATCTTTGTTGCCATCATAAAAAATATTTCCTTTGCGATTGAAGAAATGTAATGACGTGGGGATTTCCTTCTTCACATCCATATATACACCGCGTATCCCTGTATATACCTCAAACACAGATCAGTTGGAAATTTCTCCCGGATGATGCGTTTAATTTTCCCATATTTCCCCAGCACTTTATCCAGCTCGTTGTCGGGTACCTCCGGTGGCAAGTCATACACACGCACATATTGAATGAATTCACCAGCATGCGACATGCGTACCTTTGCCGTCGTTCCATTCGCATAATGGAAGATTAAATCCTCCGAATTGAATGTCAGAGCATGGAGCATCGCTTCCTCTGATTTGAACTTCATGAAGACTCCCCTTTCCTCACCAATGCGATAAACAGCTTCCATTTCAGCCGGATCCGCGTCGAGTGCTTTGGCGAAATTTACTATCTCTCCGATGTTTGGTTTGGCATCACAATGGCTGAAGCTAAACTTGATGGTGTTTTTTACTTCACACATCTTGCACCGTAGCAACAAAAGGCACCGAACTGCTAGCAACGAACAAAGAGCAACTATATAATAGCGAGTCTCGAAAACAAGCTATCGTGTGGTTCACAACGAAATAAAAAATCGACTGCTGCTGTAGACAGCTGTGGGACAACTGAAGAGAGTCCCCTTAGTACAGGGTATTATTTTTAACAGAGTTCATTATAGTTCCTGTTTTGGTTCTTAGCGTGGTTGGCGGTGGTCGTTGTCGAAGGCAGTCAGGTAATCGTCATATGATATCCAGGCTTATTCCAGTGGTGTCCATGTTCGAGGCGTCTTTTAGGAAAACTATTAGGGCTGATTCCGTGGACGGGTCGTTAGAGAGGGTGTTACGTATGCTGTTCGGTATTCCATAGAGGAGCCGGATGTTATGGAAGCAGGGACAGTTAACAACCAGGTGTTCGACTGTCATAATCGTGTTGCAGGAGTCGCAAAACTTCCGAAAAGAAGTAGCGCTACCCATGTTGTGGGTCATTCGGGTGTGTCCGGATCGAAGCCGGGATAAGACCTGTTGTTCCCATCGGCTCGTAATGTTTATTTGTTTATTTGTTATGGTTGCATCAACAGACTAGAAATAGTCCCAATGATGTGTTGTAAAAAAAGTACAGATTATACAGACGACATACATATACTACAGTTACTACAGTTACAAACGAAAATAACTTGGAAAGCATTGTCAAGTTACTAAAAATTAAATTTTACACTTAGCTGTTGGGTATCAAGCGCCTTCGGTCAGCAAAAAAGGCAGAGAATCTTCGGCGAAGCATATTCCGTGTCAAGTGGAAATCGAACATCGACGCTACTCGGTTGAACACTAGCTGCAAGCCGTAAATAGCGCTCCCTATGCTATAATTAGTTCGAAGAAGTGGAAGTCTCAGCATAAGACTGTTGCGTAGTGATCGAGGTTGAACATTAATGTTCACTTGTTGCAGAATTGCTTCGCAGTCGATTCTTCCTTGCAGAGTATCGGCGACGGTTAAGGCTCTGAAAACATCTCTTCGGATACGTAAGGGCTCGATATTGATCAATTGGCAGCGATTCTCGTAGCTTGGAAGACGAAGTGGGTATCTCCAAGGCAGCTTACGGAGCGCGAAGCGAAGAAAACGTCGTTGAACAGATTCAATTCGCTCGGCCCCATTATTGTAGTTCGGGCTCCAGACAGCAGAGCAGTATTCCAACGTAGATCGTACGAGAGAGCAATAGAGCGATTTCAAGCAGTAAATGTCCGTGAAGTTCTTAGTAATCTTGAAGACAAAGCCAAGCGTTCTGGACGCTTTGTCGACGACATACGATATATGGTGTGAGTATGTCAGCTTTGAGTCTAGAAAAACGCCTAAGTCTTTCACGCAGTGCACCCGTTCGATAGTCGTGCCTAGTAGTTTGTAGTTGAAAATAATCGGTTGTTTCTTGCGTGAGAAAGTAATAACTGTACACTTAGCTGGGTTGACCACCAGTCGGTTTAGACTACACCAGTCAGCAAAGATGTCAATCTGATTTTGGAGAGAACGGCAGTCGGCGAGTGAGCGGATGCGCAGAAAAACTTTCAGATCGTCTGCAAACGATAATCGTGGCTCTGTGATAACATGGTGAACGTCGTCGAAGAAGAGGAGAAATACCAATGGTCCCAGATGGCTACCCTGAGGTAGACCGGACTTTGCGCAGAAGCTTGCTGAGCGACAAGTATCCAAAGTTACTGTCAATTGGCGCTCCGTGAGGTATGAACGAAACCATCTCAAAAGATTTTCACCGATCCCTAGCCTATCAAGCTTAGCGATCGCAATTTCGTGGTTCAGCTTATCGAAGGCTGCCGTAAGATCTGTGTAGATAACGTCCGTTTGGGTCCGAGCAATCAAACTGTCTGTGATGTAAGACGTTAGGCACAGCAGGTTCGTAGTTGTGGAACGCCCAGTTATGAATCCGTGTTGATCTGTACTTAGATATTGCCTGCAATGCGCATTTAGGGACTCTATGACAACCAATTCAAAAAGTTTTGATACAGCACTCAGCGACGTGATTCCCCGGTAGTTGTTTACGTCGCGTTTGCTTCCCTTTTTATGAACAGGAAACATATCCGCAGTCTTCCAGCAAGACGGAAAGATGCCGCTGGAAAGAGAGAGCTGGAATATGCGGCGCAGTGGATCTAAAAGACAAGTGATGTTCTTTTTAAGAATAATCGACGGAACACCATCGGTTCCAGCCTTAGTTGAAGTCTTAAGTTTAGATGCTGCTCTAGAAATCGTATCTGTAGTGGCTTCGACCATGCTGAGCGTTTGGTTGATCAAAGGAACATTACTGGCCACGGAAGTAATGATATTAGCGGAGAGTTGCTCGGCTTCAAACACACTAGCAAATTTGGCTGAGAACAGGTTGCAAATGTCTTGTTGATTTCCAGCAGTTTCACTATTAAAAATCATGGAAGAGGGTAAGCCGACTTCCCTGCGTTGCTCATTTACGAAGTTCCAGAAGGATTTCGGGTGTGATTTTAGCCGCCGTTGAATCCTCCTTTGATAGCGTTGAAAACAGAGACGACTTAACCGCTTTTACTCGTGGTTGAGTCTGACATAGTAGCATTTCAGTGGCAGTGTGCGGAGTTTAGTAAATCTTCTGAGAGCAGCCTTCTTAGTTCTTTTCAACGAGCGAAGATCTTTCGTCATCCACGGGACGCGAGAGTCGATATGGATGATCTTTTTGGAAACGTGTCTGTCAATGACATATGCCAAGACGTGAGAAAAGGTTTGTGCAGCAATGTTGACGTCTACAGGATCCAGAATATGCTCCCAATCTACCCAATGTCATTCCATTTGGAGGTATCGCCCTTTATTTTTCTCAGGAACGGTCCCCTTTTTGCGAACCACTCCCGGGCCTAGGCGTCTCGGAGGGATGCTTTCACCCATTTGTTTACGTCCTGACTGGATACAACTGTGGTGGCCATCCGGCCGGAGCGACCTGTGGCAGCGAGATGATCTGCTTCACAGTTGCCCCGGATACCGCAATGACCGGGTACCCAAACAAATGAGGTGTTCGGAGGTGCGGCCTTTTGGGTCCCTTGTATCCAAGGGTGTCTGGATGTTGCTGAATTCAAGGCGTATAAAACGCTGGCGGAGTCTGTTAGGACAGATATGGGTCCGCCGAGAAGACGCAGCACTGATCGGGTAGTCGAAAGAAGTAACTATTGCATACATCCGCTACTCCGAATCCGACCTTCTCCACGGCCTTAGAGCCGTCCGTGTAACGGTGTTGAAAATTTGCGTATTTAGTTCTCAGCAGCTCCGCTACGTGGGCCTGCATGGCACGGGAGTTGTTACCTGCCTTGAAGCGCTTGGCAATTGAAAGGTCAACGCGTATGGTTGGTTCTGTCCATCCTCTGGTTCCGTTCCAGTGTACCCTGGACACGGTTGGGAACTCCTGATAGACCAAGTTTCCGAAAGCTCTGTTCCCCTCCCTGAGGAGAAAGACCTCGTGGTTCCCGGTGGTCTTTTCCAGGTAGCTGGTTGTTCTACGTTTCGGTGACTTGGTATTGAAACACCGAGTACACCGAGTTCGACGCATGCCGATTCAGCCGGTGCTGAAGGCAGAGGTCCTGCGACGATTCTGATTGCCTGGTTATACGTTGGGACTAGTCGTGTGGTAAGAGAGTCGTTGGAAAGGCAGAACAGTTCGATCCCGTAGAGTAATCTACTGTTTACGGTGGCTTTGGCTCTCTGTTACTGCTCCGGTGTGGTTTGGAAAATGTCCGGAGGAGGTTTAGCCGCGTGCGGCAGTTGGCTTTGATCTCATTGAGATGTGCTTCGAACCTCAGCTCCCGGTCCAAGCGTACACCAAGAACCTGGATGGTCTTCTTGTTGGGTGTTGAAATATTGTTCGCAACGATGGCTGTTGGTAGCGGGCGATGACGGGAGTGGCATAGGTGATCCCCCTTTTTTTTATTTCGTCCCACTGTGAGCCGTTGGACCTTTTGTCAACCCGCAAATTCGCCCTACTGACGAAGATATGTCTTCGCTACTGGTCTACTGGGGTGTTGCCTGTTGTCCGGTGTCAAGTGTTAAGTGTTCAGTCTGTACAACTTCTAGCTGAAGACGGTGTCATTTGCCTTTTTTTCAAATTCTAGGGAGGAGGTCTCAAGCTACAAAAATCACTTCGAATATTTATTTAAAACCTGGTAAAGTTTCGGAATTTGCACCGGGAATTTCAAAACGAAAACTCACTGGCCACCCTGAGCGAGAACTCGATTGTCTACTCTAATTCACACATCACTGATTCGTTATAGGAACGGAAAGGCCACGAAAAGCTTCACGGAATTCGTATCACCGTGGTGGACAACTATCAGGGCGAGGAAGCCAAGATCATTTTGCTGTCGCTGGTTCGTAGCAGCGAGGCCGGATCGATCGGTTTCCTGGCGTTCCGCAATCGGATCTGCGTGGCTTTGTCTCGGGCGCAGGACGGTCTCTACATGGTAGGCAACATGGATTTGCTGGCACGTTGCAGCAAGGTTTGGAAGAGTATTAAGCAAAGACTGACGGAACATTCGGCGATTGGGGACACGCTGGAACTGATGTGCGAGAAGCACTTGAATCTTACTGAGGTAAGTGGTAGCTAGGATTAGGTTGAATGCAATTCTACAATATGATCATCTGCAGATCAATCAACCGGAAGAATTCGAAAAGGTCAGCTTCGGTGGCTGCCAGGACATGTGTCGCGTGGTAATGGAGTGCGGTCATCCGTGCGATAGCTTCTGCCACGGAACCATGTATCCTCACCGGAAATGTCTGTGCAACCAGGAAGAGTTTACCGGTTACTACGGATCCTGAACAATCCCGACGGGGAACCAGCTGGATCTTAATCTAAAATATTAACATAAATCCGATATTTACATTTCAGAGATGCACATAAGTAGAATCATGGAACACATTTGAACAGGTACCTATAATCTAGACAGATTTTTCAACCCAAACCCCTTGCAATCAAAAGTAGGTCAACAAACTACCTATTTTAAGAAAATCAGTTAATCATCCCTACCTACATGCGTAACCCTGCGAAACTGGAATTGGTACACCCCTTTCTTTTCTCTTCAGAAGAGATTCGCACCTAGATCATAGAGTTCCTCAAAAATATACGTATATTTATTCGCAATTAAAAATCTTCAAATTCCTTGCTCGACATAATCCGAACCATCTTACTTCAAGCACAGCACCTCATACTCGGGGTAGCTGATCTCGGCTCCCTCGAACGGAATGTACAGGCAACCATGGGACGAGTGCACCTTTCCGGGCGTTTGCGTTCCACTGTGCAGGCAACGGCCCATGTACAACGGCTCCCCATCGACGGTGGCTCCGATCTTGACGGCACCCTCCGGTACCACTCCGTTCGCGGAAAACTCCCACACAAAATCGCCCTGTCGAAGCACCTCAAAGTCTTCCTTCAGGATTTCCTCGCCGCCGAAGGCGATGTAGGCCACATTCTTCGATGGGATCACCTTGGCCGGGATCATCTCACCCTCATGGAAGGCACGACCAGCGTAGATGACTGATCCGTCGGCGTCCATGCCAGCGCGGACCATGTTGGTAGGGAAGGGTCCCTCCACGTTGCAATGTTGCCAGCAGCCTCCTGCAAAAGTGAATCAGAACTATGAGAATCATAAAGCGTAATACTCGCATATATCGCATGTTTGAGTAGCATTTAGATAGAATACAAGTTAGTGAATCACGCCGAGCCATCTTATACCAGAATTGTTACGATGAGATTATAGAAAGATGCGAGTGTTAGTCACAGAGAACAACGAGAAGGGGCAATTTGCTTTACCAATGAGGTCATCTTGGAAATTCAGTCCCGATGACGACGACAAAGCGGTTGAGCAATGCAACTCGTTCCCGTCATCGGAAGACGACGATGACGACAACGAGTCGGATGGTGGCAGATCTTCACTCTCTTGTGGACGGATCGGTTCGGGTGCGGGATATCCGTAGGATAGTTCGAATCCTGTCGGCTGATCATTTCTAACGTAGCCATGTATAAAACCGATGGGTGGAGGAGGGCCTGAATGGATGTAGAGGATATTATGTGGGTTTTTTTTTAATATTTACATGCATGTAGAACAAATTAAAGGACATCCCCTCCCCTTGGCTAGTTTTTTAACCTGGACGTTGGTGGGCGGGCCTAATCTTATGCTTCATAGTGGAGCGTTGGAGACGGTTGGTTTAGGTGCGACATCGTTGGCTCATGCCGTGACAGAATAGCGTCATGAGCATGCGATGAGGATTACTGAGCTTCCCCTCTCTGATGAACCATTGCATAAGAGAACCAAAGTTCTAGCCTGAAGTGATAGTATCACACTTGTTACTCCTTTATTTGAAAGCCGCGTTGTAGTACGCTTCCGTATAGGCACTGACGTTGGGTGCGATACTGGCGGGTTTTGCCGCAAATCACTCTTATTTTATTTATTTTTACGCAGATAGATTTATTTGGGTTTGCAAGGGAATTATACTATTGAAATATTTCAGAAAGTGCCCAACAGTGCTCCTTCTACTTGCGTGACAAGCTTTCGTTGTTGTTTTCATTGAGGTATTACTCAGGGAACAATGTTAAACACCATTTTTGTACATGGTATTGCAACTAATCTTATATGTGCTTCATATTGATTTGGGATAAGTGTTTGAACTATGGCTCGGGATTTCCACTGTGGCGTGCTTCTATTGTGACATAACCATACGTATTTTTGTGGTGCGACATAGTGGAAACGTGTGAGCGTAGTTGAAGCATATACCCTATGTAATTTAAAAATCAGCTAGGAAACTAAATTCAAAGTGAAGCATTTTAGTCACTTGAAGGTGTCACCTGGGACGAACTAATATATATTAAATATAGGTCAAAGTCAAAAACAACTTGAAACACGTTAAATTTTAGATTACATTCACAAGTGCAGGTCCCTGCGCTTTGGTCAGAGAGCGTATAGGGCGTCGTTGTGCCAATTTGGTCGAGGCACATTTCGAGTATGAGAGAGTGATTGCAGTTTGCTCAAAAGTGCCTGAGTAAAATGCAAGTATTTTCGCTGATTACCCGTAGTTGTTACAGTGAAGATATACACCCATATTCTCGTTTATGTCTGGACGTGTTTGCCATACAGAAACATTTTTATTTGATTTTGTGTGGTGGATGGGTTTCGGGCTCGACAGGCATATGGGTGATAATATTAAGTTTACGTTAGGATAACGTTGAAATATTGAGAAATGTATCGCTTCAGTTTAAGAAGCACTTCACTTCGCAACCGATGAACCATTCTGACGGCCCACATTGCCGTGCAGGCGCCGTGTGTTGGCAGGGTCCAATATTGGACAGTTTGACGTTTATAAAGTACCATCAGTTAAAACTGTATTTTTGAACTTTATCTCTATAGATGTTTCTTAGTAGATTATCATGTTGGTGTAAGCTGATTCAAAGAGTAAATGGTATTAACATTGAGCTGTCCATAGTTGGGCGTTGTTGAACTTCTGGCACAACATTTCATCTGAATACCAAAGTAACCATATAATCACAAAATAGCTTTAGGTGTGGGTTCAGAGTGGTAGAATGTCACTGAGATATGGTTGGTTGGGTATTCAGATGAAACTATTACTTTAAAAAACTAATCCTGGTTGTATCTCTTTTTCGTTTTTTCGTTTGCATGTAACACTGTTTGATATTACTAACCGCACCGAGCCTTCATTCCGGGTGCTGAGCGAACCTGAAGAAGAAGAAGAAGACCATAAACCCCTTCTCGGAACGAGTGTTTTGTTAGTGGACCTGGTCTGCGATTCAAGGTTGGACTCTGTGATGATATATATCACATAACAGGTAAAGTAGGCAGCACCATCTTTATCGAAATGTAAGTATTATTGACAATAATCATAACTAGATTATATGCAAATTTATATGATAGGTATGAATCAACGTTGTTTAAACATGCGCATTCAATCGTGACGGCATCTAATTCTGCATTTTAAACCTACCCAACCCTTTTCCTTTCTACAATCCCTGAGCCACTGGTTCACCATAAGTGTACCTCGCAGAACTTTTTTAACCCCCATGGGTAAAGATGCTGTGTTGCTCACTCCTCTCCCCTTCCCTAGTGTATTATGGATGGTGTGAATATTCACATCGGTGACATGGCCCCTGACCCCCTTGTACATCATAAAATGAAACTAAACTGTTGACAATTGAAAGCATAGTTAACTTTAACATAATTTTGATAAAACAATCATTTCATCCAGTTCACTTTAAAACAAACAAGTATGAAAGGAGATTGCTTAGAATAAAGATAAAAGTAATAAGCGCAATATTAAACGACATTAAATTTGAATCTGATAGGTAGGCCATATAACAGAGTCGATAGCCATTGCAAATCAACCATCTCTACCTGCTTATTTTCCTAACTTTCACTATTATTGCTGTTACTCTGACTATCCCCTATGTTCAACAGCTTTCCTTAATATCCGGTATCGTAAACAGGATTCATTTGACCCCTGTGGTTATTATTCTGTGATGCCAAATCTATACCTCTACCCTGGTGCAGTATGGACAGCGATTTTTCGCTGGTGACTTGGCCCTATGACCCCCTTCTGTGCTTGAAAAATGAAAATGAAAATGAAATGAAATGATTACATTCACAAGTGCAGGTACTTAATAAAGCATGGTAGGTAGATTAGAGATTTCAATAATTTATTTAATTAGACTAGAGATTAATTAATTAATTTATCTTTATTAGGGAGGCTTTCAGCCTTGGGCTGGTTCGCCTAGACTAGAGATTTCATAATCATCAAACGAACTTAAATAAGAAAATTTAGACAGCCTAGTATCATTAAGTTGATTAACAGAAGAGTTAGGATGCGGAGGGTCCGCTTAGGGAGGCAACTAGCCTTTAAAGCAACTGGCAACTAACCTTTTCATGTATTGTCTGTTTATTTTGATTATTGCTTTAAAATATCAATTTGGTATATGTGTGAAAGGATGAATCAGTGGGAGATGGATTTTCGGTTTCTTTACATTTAGCATCACTATGTGTCATTTCCTCAAAACCCCCCAAAAACCGGCCTCCTCAATCCCTTCCTTTTCCCATGGCGTTCAAGTGGTCCGCATAGACTATTCAGCCATTACCCGTCCTTTATCATCGGCTTTGGATTGACTTGCGCTCCCATTGCCCCCTCCAAACGCTGCAAAATGAAAATGAAAATGAAATATAGAACAAATCAAAGGACATCCATTGCACATTGGTCTAAATCCGCAAAAACGTGGTCGGTTTAGGTTTGAGTAAAAATAATCTTCATTTTCGGTACCTGGTTGTGTCTTTAGGGAGGAGTTTCTTGGAATTCAAAGTTCTATCTTTTGGAAATTAATACCGCTAGGATTGAGATGAAACATCAGCGATATCGTTTTTTTTTTTTAATTCTTTATTAAGGTGATACTCTAAGGAAGCCTTAGCGTGAAACTGCAAAGACACAAATGTCAGCTTCCACAAAACATACAAATTTGAAATTGCTACTCTCTGTTTGTAGTAGCACAGCAAACAAGGAATAGCAATTTCAAATTTGTATGTTTTGTGGAAGCTGACATTTGTGCCTTTGAAGTTTCACGCTAAGGCTTCCTTAGAGTATCACCTTAAGGTGATTTTTAGCCACCTCTGGACTAGTTCATCACCCAACATTATCGGTGTCTTCAGTAAAGTTGTAGAAATTATTGTTACAACGAAGTTTACTGAAAACACCTTGTTCTCTTTTTTCCCTTCGATCCTTATTTTATTTATTATAAGATGACTCCATTATTGTTGAGTGTACAACAGGAGCAAACGTAAGTGATGTAAAAAATGGTATTGAAAGCAATCTGGGTGAAAAATATAGTGCTGTTGTTCCCACTTCGGTGCCAAGATTAAAAATAGTGGGCATGAGCGATCAGTTTTCCTCCGATGTCTTTATTGACTACTTAAAAAGTCAAAATGAAGACATCGCTATTAATGATGTAAAAGTAGTGAACATGTTTGAAAATCCACGCTTCACTTATAACAAGTTTAGTGTTGTAATTGAAGTCGATGTCGATACTTATAAATGTTTGTTATGTGCTCGATAGTTCCCGCGATTAATGTGTTGAGATGCTTCAAATGTGGAGAATTTGGGCACAAGAGCATGGATTGCAAAAATTGTGAGAGATGCTCTAGGTGCAGCCAACAACACAAAACATCGGAGTGTACGTCAACTGTATTGAAATGTGTTAATTGTTTGAAAATGAATAAAGAACGTAAAATGAACTTGGACGTCAACCATGCCGCATTTAGTCCTGAATGTTTGCTCTATAAAAGACTTTTTGAACAGAAGAAAAGCAGCTTGCGTTTCAATAAATAGCAGCCAAGTTCCAGGAATGTGAATCAATTCGATTTTTTATACTTGAATATTGCGGGGTTGTCAACAAACTACGTAGCATTACGTCAGATTGTTGAGGAAAAACGTCCTCTTTTAGTTTTCTTATCTGAAACTCATATTGTAGAAACTGAAGCTTTTGATCAGTATAGTATTCCGGGATATATTGTTGCTGCTTGTTTATCACATTCTAGACACACTGGCGGTGTTGCTATTTATGTCAAA